TATTTAATCAATTTGTTAGAATTACATTATGTACACGCTGAAAACAAGCTTCCTGTTGATTTTTTTCTATTCCAGCTTCAACGTAGACATCTTTAAAATGTTCATAAGTTGTCTAGTGTGACAGGGCCTTAACTCARACATGTTTGTGTAGTAATAGTTTGATTGAGAAAACAAATGAAACAATGAAGGGAAGAGCTTTAAAATCAACTAATATAGCATTCGCTAGTACTGGAGGGAAATGTTTAAGTTTTAATTATTGTTGTATACATCTGAAATCTGCTAAAAAAACAAAAAACACTTCATTCTGACTTAGACATTAGCCTGACTATGAGAATCTGTTTCTAAAAATTCAGTTCACTAAGACGTCTATCTAACATGCAGTAGCACAAAAAGTAAGTAAATTTGTGTTTGGTAGATTAGCTCTTTATTTTAACAATGCTTCTTGGCAATAAATCTCATACCAGCCACCTGATTGGCAGCACCTGGAGGTACCAGAATCTCAAAACAAGAGTCAATATCAACAGTAAAATAAGCTGTTTGGYAGAGAAAGTTTGTCAAAATTTGTCAAGTGTCTAACCCACACACTCAACTCTAYTGCTCATCCCACAGATGCATGTTCCTTACAAATCTGGCACCATTTAAAAGGGTAACTAACAGGCTTTCATATGAAATAAGTTTCATTGCCAAAAAGCATTGCTACAACAAAGAAATAATCTACCAAAAAAAACAAATTTCCATAATTTTTGTGCTAAGTTGCTATATGATAACAGCTTCACCAAACCCTCACTCTAAAATTTAATCCACCTTTTCAAGCCTTTATTATAAGCTTAGTCTGAGTAAAAACTAACATAACTTCACYCTTTGGGTATATGGATTGATGTCATATTGAGATGTAGTTAACAAAATTAACTGTGTAGACCTCAGCAGAACAAATATTTTATGTATAAAAACCCCTTTAGGTCATGGTGTTATCTGTTGTACGGGCCGGCAGTAACACGTGATTGTACAACAAACTGCAGTTACAGTGGATATAAAAAGTCTACACACCCTTTAATGTTTTCCACCTTCAATGTGAGCTAAAGCCTGTACAACTGAATTGAAAATAATAATAAAAGTCTTTTTTGGGGAAAGTAAAAATAAAAAATCAAATAAGTTGGTTGCACAAGTGTTAACACCCTGAAACTAGTTTGTTGAAGAACCTTTAGACTTTATTACAGCACAGTCTTTTTGAGTGGAAGTCTACCAGCGTGGCACATCTTGATCGTCCCACAGGTTTTCTCTGGGATTCAGATCTGGACTCTGGCTGGGCCATTCCAAAACTTTAATCTTCTTCTTGTGAAGCCATTCTTTTGTTGATTTGGACACGCTTTGGGCAGTTGTCATTCTGAAAGACAAAGTTTCTCTTCCTCTTCAGATTTCTAGCAGAAGCCTGAAAGTTTTATTCCAATATGTTTGGAACTGTTCCTAAAGCATGATGCTGCCACCACCATGCTTCCCTGTGGGAGTGGTGCTCTTCTAATGTGCAGTGTGGAATTGTGGCCAAAAATGTTCATCAGACCATGACACATTTCCCCACATGTGGGAGACTTCACATGCGTCTTCACAAAATGTAGCTGGGCTTTGATGTTTTATTGTAAGAAAAGGCTTCCGTCATGCAACCCTACCCCACAGCCCAGACATAAGATGAATACAAGAGATTGTTGTGACGTGTGCTACACAGCCAGTACTAGTGAAAAATTCCTGTAGCTCATTTTAAAGGCACAGTGTGTAGGATTTTGTCAATTCTTTTAGCCGAAATTGAGATAATCACTAATGACAATAATAAAAAACATGTCTAAT